GATATATATATATATATATATATATATATATATATAGAGAGAGAGAGAGAGAAGCCTTCTACCGTATGTGTAAAAAAAGAGAATCAAGTTTGGAGGGGAGAGAGCCCCCGGGGCAAAGAAGAGAGGTTGGTTTTTTGTTTTTTGATTTTTTTTTTATTTTTTGGGGGCCTGGGGAGAGCATGGGGCTTTACATGTGACAGGGAGAAACCTTGTATGTGAAAAAGGGAAGCCTTCTCATTTAAAAAAGAGCATGTGCTGAGTTTTTTATTTTTGGAAACTATGTATACTTCTATGAATGCATCCTGCTAGAGTTTATTTCGATTATTCTTTGAATCATAAACAATTTATGCATCAGAAATTTTGAAAGAATCATGTGCATGCAACTTCTGATAAAACCAGTACAAAATTCACGAAATAATAAAATATGCATCAAATTAAACTTCTAATAATGTACATATGCATGTTTAATTTCCTGCACATTCTTATGATCCTACATCCTAACATTTACCAGTTTAGAACACAAGGCATATTCCCCTTTTGGAGCTTCTACTCTCACATAGAATTCTTGTTTCAACAATTCAAAAGTGGGAGAAGGTTTTTTACTAATGAATCGATATTCAAAATCATTCCATTCTTAATTTCTTACACTATCAAAGAGTCGGGCTTCTAAATTTTCTTAGCCCGCCCCCCCCCCCCCGCCCCCCAGAATTCCTTCTAGCTATCTCTAGGGTTTGAACTAGTCTCAAATTCACAAAATAATAAAATTTGTATCATGTTAAACTTCTAATAATGTCCATATCCATGTTTTATTTCCTGCACATGCTTATGATCCTACATCCTTGCATTTACTAGATAAAGACATAAAGCATACGAATTATAGCTGTCTAGGGCTTGAAATCCTTTGGGATAAGATTTTGAAGTTCATACATGTTTTATTTCCAAAGAACTTTCAGGTGAGATCTACCTGATCATAGGATAAAAATAACATTATGATGAATGAGCACCCACATTTTCATGGTTTGTGCATTTGCACTATAAGGAAGTACCAAAGACATCCCTCAAGCAAGTGCAAGACAAACTGAGAGAAGATATGATGGGCATAAGGCATGATGCAAATATAGAAAATATATCAAGGAATCCAGGGAAGAAGCAAACTTTCATGTCTATGGTCAGTTTTCTGGGTAAGAATCAGTGCTTTCTGAAGCATAGAATTTGTGTTGGTTATAAGGACCTCTTAAGAATTTCAGTGCTCCTAAAAATAGAAACGGCTTCATAAAGATCAGCTCTACGGTGTTTAAACCGAGTCTGATTTGAGGAAAAGGGTCTATAGACACATAGAGACAGACATATACATGTGTGTGTGCATGTTTATACACAAACTCACAAGTGACATTTAAGGCAACCCAACGTCCAAGTGCTCAAAATACCAAAAGATGTCAAAAAATGCGCAAACGTGTGGGGAAGGTCGTATAGGCAGCACAGATCTCGGGTGCACTCTAGTATGGATTAGTAGAAAAACTACAAAAATCCAAAAAAAATATAAAACATGAAATAGCAATAAATTGATGTTATTGGCTTGAAAAAGAAGGAAAAAAAATATATTAAAAAGGAATTTTAGAAAATAGAAAAAGGGAAATCATTAAAAAATGAAGTATATAGAAAATGAATTTTTAATAAATGACATTTGATTTAGTAAAAAATAAATCAATTTACAAATTTAAATTGCAAAAAAAAAAAATGAAAATCCCCAATCTTCGTGCTCAATGCAAATCGATGCCTCCAATCCTTGTCAAAGCTTCACCAAGTAACTCAAATCAAAATCCCCCAACCAATTTTGGGAACCAAGGTAATGGAAAAATTCGGATGAATAGTAAATCCGAGTTTCAAAACTTTAAAATACTCTTTCTAGTTTTCCGCTTTCTTTTTTTTTTCCTAGGGAATTGAATATTGACAACCGATTGCAAAGGAACCACAATGTTTCACAATGGGCTAAAAACTTGGCTGACTTTTTCAATCTCAAACCAGGTATATTTTCTTAAATATATTGTTTTTAATAGCTGGATCAAGCTAGAATCTAACTAAGCATGGAATTCTCAAGTTGGCAAAATAAGGCTCTAAATCAAAGAAATAAACAATAAAAGGCAGTGTAGTCCCCCCCCCCCTCCCTTTAAACTAACCAGTTAACAGTATCAAAGAAATAAACAATATAAGGCAGTGTGGTCCCCCCCCCTTTAAACTTACCAGTTAACAGTACTCGAATGAGTACTGTAGCAACCCACCCGAATACTGTACAGGTTATGAACTACATATATCACGTACCTTGTTCCCGAGTGACTCGCCAAAGTTAGAGTCAACTCAAACGAGTTTTAGAACACAGAAGAAATAAGGCTCAAACTGATGACCCAAAGGCTCCTGCCAACACTAGGATTTCAGGGGCTTGGAGAGTGCATAATATCAGCTTACCAACCTTTTCCAATTCAATTCGTATATTGGCAAAAATGGGGGGTAGGATGCGATTTTGGATAGATCTCTGGCCAAGGCATCAATAGCCACTAGGTGATTTATGCGTAAGGAGAGCACTACCTATTCCTTCATTGCTCGCTGGCAGGGCAGTTCTAGGTCTTTCTCTCAACCATTTGGGGATGACAGGTTATTGCCACAAAGAATCCAAGGGTATTCTGAATCTACTTTTGCACCCATTCTTGAAGTCAGGCCTGGCCCAATGGAGGGCACATTCTTGCTCTTTTAAGTATATTTGGCTAGAGAAAAACCCATGGATCTTCGGAGCAAAGGAACTTTGAGGTACTCAAGGACAACACTCCGGCCAAGACTATGAAAGGAGTTCAAAAGCTACACCACAACGGACTTCTTATCAAACTGGGAAACAATCACAAGGTCTAGTCCAAGGCCCACTCCAAGGTCCTCCCACCAGTTTGCTCCCCATCCTGACACCATAGATCAAACTGAATTTTGATGGGTGCTTTCTAGGTAACATGGGAGTTGCTGGGGTGCATGGCTTTTTAGGGATAGTTCAAGTGCCTCGATCTTTTCCTGTTCAGGGCTTATTGGAACCGTGGCTCCAACCCAGGTGAAACTTCTATGCTCCTTAAAGGACTCATATTGTTTGACTAAAGGTGGGGTTTGTTCCACTGTAATAATAGAGGGTGATTAAAAAACAAAAAAAATCATAAATTGGCAACTGAAACTCCAACTCTCCCTAAAGACTCTAGCAGGTCTTTGACCAAAATTTTCATCCAACCATCTCCCACATCTTTATATTAATAACAGTGTCTTGGTAACCTAAACCCAGAATCTTGGTCACCTTTCTACCTGCAGATTGTAAATGTATATATCTTTATACTACTAATATTTAATAATACAGTCGAATTTATCAAAATAATAATAATAATAAAGAGAGGAAGGGTGGAGAATGGATGACTGAAGCAAATCCATTTTCCCATTTTTCTGCATATCAATGGAAAAATGATGATGATCAATGGAAAAGATAAATTCTTATTAACACGGACAAATACTCCACATTCAGGATATGAAATACTATCAAGAGCATCAACAATGGTAGCATCTGGTTCTCACTCAAGATGGTTGAGCTATTACAAAGATTGTCAATTACTAACCATGCCCTCTTGGAGTTCTCTAATGGTTCTTAATGCCTTCAATCCTGGTTCTTTTGACCTCTCCATTCCCTATCATACCATGTGCAAAAAAATAGTCAGTTCTTGAAAGTCCACTATAAATGGAAATAAATCCAGAGCAAAGAGAAGAGGGTATCCAGAGTTTCGAGAGTAATAAACGAGATGATTTTAACTTAAATTTTAACACTGCTTCATCACCTAACGCAAGCTATAACCTACAAACTAACCTCAGCATAGCCTCCTGGATCATGGGTATCAATTCCAAGAAAATGTCCAAGACCATGTGACATAAAAACAGCACCCAGTCTTCTCTCCATCATTTCATCAATGTCACTGGAGCCAGCCAAACATCATGTGAAACGTTAAGCAATAAATTACACTCAGCTTCTTCCAATTTCATGATTAAACAGTTCTAGTTTTCATACCCAAGAAGAATTCCTTCCATCTTCAGAGACTCCAGAATCAGTTTCTCAGCTAATCTGAAACCACATATGTGAAACAAGTTGAAATGACTTTCAAGGTAATATAAATTTTATGCAACAAAGATGTGGAGCAGCAGCTTGGTCCTGGAACTAAACCAGCCCACACCCTATGAATACTGGACCTGATAAGATATTTCCTCATGCATATTAAATCCTTCATGTATGGGCATTCTACGTTCTCAAGAAGAGCCATGGAGTAATTTTTATTCTCATATAAATTTCCACCTTTGAATGAAAAGGGAAGAGCATTTACAGACAAATACTCTCTGGCAGTATTTTTTTTCCCCGAGAATTAATATGCCATTATACTATTACAGTTTTACCATAGATGTTGGAAATGCCTAAAATTCATAATCATATTAGGAATCCGAAGCACGGAATCATGGGTGGCTAGAAGATTCCTATTGTTGGAATTGTCTTCCTTACAATGCATATTGCAAGAACCAAGATTCCTACTTTTTGGTAATCACGCCCCAACCCAAATGGAGTCGTGATTCCTACCTTTTTGGTATCGAACACCAACCCAATTGGAATCGAAATTTATAACTTTTTGGAATCAAGTTTCAACCCAATGAATCGAGATGCCGGAAAATTGGTTAGGGTGTGTCGATCACCCAAGTCTCGCTTAGGAGATCCCTTAGCTGGAGCTGGACCCCAAGCAGAACTCAATCCTCATCAAGGGGGCTCGATCCCTATCTTATAAGGATCTCGATTCCAACTAAATGGTGTCTTGATTGTTTTGGAAGGGGATTGAAACCCACTAAAAATGGGGTAGAATCATAGTTTCAAGGGATCTCAATACTAGGAAAAGTTTCAAAAAACTTTGAAATTTGAACCCGATGTCTTTAATTTTCTAGAGAGATTATGCTTTGTATTTTTTTGTTTTTTGTCAATTTTCTAGCTAACTACCACCTGTAGACAAATTTCTGCTTTTCATTTTCACGGTGGTGGTTTGCACAAGTGGTTAAAAATTGGCAAACATACTCGGAATTGCCCGAGTCAACTCGGACATAGGTGGCTCCCACCAGAATAGTTGCAAAGAGGGGAACTGCCAGGAGTTTCCAGAACCGGGCAGTTCTCACTATAATAAATATCCTTGTCTCATCCGGTTAGGGACATGGGGATTCTTCAGTTTGGTTTTTATCGTGGCCTTTCAACCACATTTTTATCAAATTTTTATGGGACTTTCAGGCTATATAGGTTTGTCATTGTACATGCGTAGATAATGCTAAAAACATATATTATTCAATTTTTTATATCGTTTTAGAAATTATATGCGTGCGTGTGTGTATGTATCCCAAGCAATCCAATATACATATAGTGCATACATCAAGTCGTTCGCAAGCACTCCCAAGTTAGGACGCTTCAGCCATTGGTAAATCCCACGCTCTCGGTTACGCACCAGCTTTCACACCTACTCCTGCTCCCAACGACTACGATTGAGATTCCTAACTTTATAGAATCATGCAACTAACCATTGGAACCACGATGGAACATAATAGAAACAAGTTATATAGGCTAGAATGTGCCGGGTTTGTGGCCTTTAAAGCCCGTTAAAACATGTAAACATAATAAATATAGTTTATTGTGCACTTTAATGGGAGAGTATGATGGTTGACTGACATAGGTTTGGGCAATCTATGACCCAAGTCATGTTCAAAACCCTTTTTTCCGTGGCATAGGTACTACCAATGAGGGTTTTAGAGATGGTCAACCCCTTATTGAGGTTGAGAAGATGCCTCGGGACATTGCTTGTAGGCTAGAAGAACTTCATAGTCTCCTATGTGCAGCTATAGGCTTGTGAGAGTGATAGTCAAATCCTCAACAAACTTTCGCAAAACACGTACATATGACAGCTGCATTTCGAGAAGCAACCCTATAGAGAGATACATATACATGTGCATAGAGAGAATCCCTCTGTACTATAGTGATATGTGCATGTGACTTGCTCTTAAAGGGGGGGACATGTAATCCACATACTACAACCGTAATTCCACTATTCACTAGCTAGCGTTGACAGGTCAACTATAAGCCCTTGTATACAAGTGTGGGTCATGGATCCCGTTGGGTTGGTTTAAAAAGATAGTTGTGGATCACAGTATCTAGCATGGGTGGAGTGCCCTAAAAGTTACTTTGCTTGACCCATTGGTATCAAACCAATTCAAAAGCATTCATGAGTGTTTTAGACTTTTTTTAAGAACTTCAAAAGTATTATTTGCAACTCGATTTATGTTCCTATGATTTTTGGATGTTTTCAATTTTTTTTAAAAAAATTGATTCTATGCAACAAAACTCTGAAGAAGGGCGTAGTTAATGGAGCGCCATTTTGAGGTGGGACCCACATGTGGGGTCCATTGGCACAACTCCCACTCTTGGGGGGGCTCCACATGGGAAGGACGTGGGGCCTACAAGGCCCTCATGACCCCCCTCAAGGAGATGCCGCTTTTTCTGGGCGATCTCCCGCTTATGTGGGAAATCTTTCATAAGAGCGATTTAAGGGAAATTTGTGTGGGATGAGATTTGAAATATTTAGGAAATCCTTGAAAATTGACCAGTCTTTTTGGCTTTGAATTTCTACAATATCTTTGTGAGAGAAAAGCAATTATAGTCAAAAGAGATTATGAAATTTGACCAGTCTTATCCTAGATTGACTAGAAGTCGACATGGGTCAAAGATTCAGAGGATAAGGTTTCTAAACTCCTCCCTAAAGTCATAATGGCTGATTTTAAAGAATAGATGAATCTGATTTGTTTATCTCACCTCACATATTACCAAGAAATTTTTTGGTCAAACTGAATCCCAATTGAGAGTGGAATACCCGCCATCAAGCATATATAAGGAGAGGTCCTCCCCTCATTCTCATCATCAGATTTTCAAACGTCTCTCTCCTCTCTCTCTTTCTCCTCCATGCCATCTTCTTCCCTCTCTAGCTCCCTCTCTTCTCTCCCCCAACCCAAAGTAGAGACCTTGGGTGGCACACACCACCTAGGGCATATAAAGGGGGCATGCCCAACCTATCTTTGTTAAATGGGAGGTGCAACATAGTGGCATTGCTCTAAAGCTTTTAAAAAGGTCTAACGAAAGCCTAATTCTAGTAGCCCATGCTCTCATCTCTAGCTTGAAAAGGTATTCCAGAGGTGCTTCCCAATTCAGTGGATTCTGCAGGATTTTAGATCACGTGCACCATCAGTTTTGTAATCGGGTGTGGGCGTGCTATGTCCTAAAGGGGTAACCGTAGGCAAAAGTTCAGCAAGTCTTCCTACTTTTATTTATGAATTTATTTTAGTTATTGGTTCATTTTTTGTGTCAGTAGTACTAATTGTATTACGAGTCCTATTTGGATTAAAATTCCTACTTGAACTAGGACTCCTACTGAGACTAGAATTCCTAATTGTTTTTCGATGCATATTAAGTTTGTATTCAATTTTATGAATATAGTTTTGTTTGGCAGTAAAAGTCAATATCTTAGATTGTAGTAGGTTTATTTCGTATTTATATTTATATTGTAACACTAATCAATAATAAAGAAATTTTTTTAATTTATACCTTGGAATTCTACATAGCGACAGCTTCCAAAATGTTTGAGGTTCTAGTGTATGTTTAAGCAAGAATACCTTAGTATTGGAATCGATGTATTAAGATGCTTAGTCGGAGTTCCCTAGAATTCAAGTGAGATCCTCAACAATCCTAAAGACCTGAACAAGGGTTCCCCAGGTACTGAAATCAGTGTATTGAATAACCTTACTGAGGTTCTGGATTGAATAAAGAGCATAAACATACTTGATAATAATAAAATTTATAAAAACAAGTTATTTATTTTAGGTTGTCAAAATTTAGGAATAATGTTAAGTACAGTTCGCAAACACCCATAGAGTTCTTAAACATAGATGATATATTAAATAATAAAAAATTTCAAAAAGCAGAATATTTCACTAGTCTACTAGGGAAGTAGTGTTTGTGTTTACAAAACATACAACTAGTATCTTATTTATACTTGAGAATGAGATTTTGTTTTTGATACATATACTTCAAAATGGGATTTTGGTCGTCTTTGTGATACTCTACGTCGTAGTACATCAGAATTGAATCAAACTGAATACTCTTCCACAATTTTCTTGAAGAAGCATTTGTTCTAGCACTATTAGAAAAGCAAATTGTGTAAGAATCCTTAAATTTATTTTACGATATACTACTAAGTTGACATGATGTTTACTTTGTGTGTGATTCCAAAAAATCCAATCAAGATTCTATAAAGGCGCAAGCAAGGTTCATCTTCATCAAATGACAGTTTCGTGCACCTATGAACCACAATATTTGATGTTCTGGAATTTGGATTCTAAAAAAAAAACCGAATCGAGATTCAATAAATGTGGAATTGAGATTAACTTTTAAGAAAATGGGTTCCATGGGGATCCCTTGATGGAATCTTAGAATTGGGATTCTGAAGCTAAATCGCTACCCAGTATGAGAGATTGCAATAACTATTGAGTTTTACAAAGTTGTTGGTTACAAGTTAAGGTGGAAAAAGTGTAGCGTCAAAGAATATGTTCAAGTCAAGATATCACAACTCGACAACTAGCCCTTCAATGCAGTATCTCCAAATCGGGATATTACTCTTTGGCAAGTCACAGCTTTACAGAAAACACAATAGCTACATATTAATTATAAATTACTTTGTCTAATCAAGGATTTACAACATAGCACTAATAACACTGAAACAACAAGTTTAGGAGGAGATAAAGGAGTATCCATAATTGCTGGGATCGAGTCTGATGCGAGAGTGGGATAGGGAACAGGCGCAGAGCGATCACGAAAGGTTAGAAGATCCCTACGGTTGGGAAGTTTTGTACATAAAATGAATATGTTAGGGATTTTGATCCCGACCTTTTGAGATCTCGATCCCAACTTCTTGGGGATCTTGCTCCCAACATTAAATAATATTTATAGTCTAGGACTATACATACTTTCTAAAGTAGGGATCTCTTCGTTTATAGCCAGCAAGGAATGCAACTACATTAAAATTATAGCCACAATGCTATCTGGTTTGGAAAACATCATTTTGGTTGATATCGTGGTCTTTAAGGTGGGGATCAAGAACCTTGCAGAGTGGGATTGCCACCTAGGTTAAGAAATCCCGGCAACTACGAGTGTAGCCCTTAACTTTAATTCATAAATTTTGGTCAAGCATGCCAAGCGCTCCGGTTCATTTTGGAAAACCCATGGTCTTATCCCTAAGCAATCTAAAACTTGGAATGCCCTTAGAGAAAGATACAAACAACGTGAACCTTACTTGTGCATTTCTATCCAGCTCACACCAGGTCTCATTGTCGATATCACATGATTGTGAGCCTTGAGAACTGCCTGCAAAAACAAATCCTCAGATATAGATCAAAAGGGAAAAGGGAAGATCAAGAAAAAAAGCACTGACATTTTTCAAGAAAAACATATCCATATCGATCAAACCACATCTGAGGATGAAACCAACCTGAACTTTTTCAAAAAGGAGACAGTAGGTGAAAAACACTCTCGAGGGCACAAAAGCTCACTAACCATGGGAAGAACACTTACATTGTAAACAAGGCGCTGGTCACTGGAAAATTTACCGCTAACCTGCAGCACAGGCAAATTAATAAGCCCAGCTCATACCAATATATGCGTCAAACAAGGACGGAGAAAAATAATGGAAGGTTCCATAGAAAGAGTGATTGTGAGAAAATTTTGACTCCATGTATTTCAAGAATTATTATTGAAGACACATGACATATGGCCCTGCTATTTTTAAACTTATTATGACACCATTTGATGGGGCTAGAGGCAAACAAGAATGGACGATTTCCATTCTTCATGTTCAGGAATCTCTCTCTCTCTCTC